TGACATCAGTTAAAGAGCCATTGGCAAGGGAACTGGGAGTACTGGAGAGCTGTTTCGTCCGCCTAGTTTGGGACTCTTCATCAGTACGCAACCCCACTGGGGTTTGAACCCAGGACCGTCTGGTTACAAAGCGAGCTCGTAGACCATTGAGCCACTGGGACCCGATCCAATGGTCCAATCAAACAAAATCCCTACAAAACCAATACTTTAAATTCATCTTATGCTCACTAGCGACTGGCACTATTCAGGCAGTTAACCTGGGGTTCTAGTGGGAAGTCGTGACCAGTAGGGTACAGCAGGTTTAAGATGAGGCAGTAACTCATCGAAGCAGACATTGCGCTAAGTCGTGAATTGGCAGAAATAATATTTCGCAAGACTAGAGGTTCACAAGAAGATGGCCAGAAAGAATTAGCAACAAGAAACTCTGGGAACGAACCAACCACGAATCTATCGCCCAATAAATATTCCCAAGGAAACGGAAATGGATTGGAAATACGCTGAGGAGACTACTGAGTGATATTGCCAGCCAAGCCTCCGGATGGAAAACGACGAATCGGACCCCGAAGAAGGCAATCGTGTGAGGAGAAAATGAAATCTTATAGGCAACCATGAGGCTATCTGAAAACACTGTAGAGAATGGGGGGAAATGGAGATACGCTGTTGAAGCCCTATGCCCAAATCGTAACCCAAGAGAATGATAATAATAAGAAGAATCTAATTGATGAATAACTATTAACCGGGTTTTCTTTCCTTCCCGGCTTTGTTAATAAAATTAATCCAACTCTTAATTAGTTTTTTAATTTAATTAAATCACTTGCCACCGGTATCCGACGCATCTGCAGTCCTGACGTTCTGATAACAGAATTAGATATTCTAAGAGAAATTTTCATCCAGAATGGATACCCAGTGAGATTCATCGACAAAAATATCAAACCAAGAATTCGGAGAAACGAAACTTTACTTGCGCCAAAAAAGAAACTCTACATGAACCTGGATTTCAAGGGAAATTTAGCAAGCGATATTCTCAAGAGAAGGATCACATCATCTCTGAGAAGAACATTCTTTGCAGCAACGCTAAGAATAGTGTTCTCCAGTAGCCCATTGATCTGCAGAAGCCTCAAGGACAAGATCCCGCATCTGACCACTTCTATGTGCATATATCAGTTCACCTGCTGCTGTGGAGCCAGATACATCGGTCTTTCGACGCGCACCCTGTCCAAAAGGATTCAAGAACACTATCCATCATGGTTGCGAAAAGGCAATAGTGGTGCAATAAGGAGTGCGATAATTGGACATCTGGTTAACACTCATCATTCCATTTCAACAAACGCCTCCTTCAAAGTAATCTACAGAGTCAAGGACAACCTATCAAAGGCAAAACGGTTTTGCCGTCTTTGTATCGCTGAAGCTCTGGCCATTCACATAGAAAAACCGGAGCTGTGCATACAAAAGAGGATTACTCAACCACTTCTACTGCCTTGGTAACAACTTTTTTGATTTGATTTTTTTTATTTTGATGACTTAATTTTGTCTCTTTGCCTGTTCTTTAATTGCTTATGATTCTTGTATTCATTTAGAAATCTTACGTAATTTCGTATTATCTACTTTGTTCCTTTGTGCATCCTGAGTACAACTCAATCATCAAACTATTCATATTGTTACATAACTTCTTTTAACAACTGTTTGTGACAACTCATCACCTTTGTTACTATCCTAATTTCACTAACACCGAATTTTCTTGACTGATTTTGTATTACGTAAGTCCAATTACCAATCTTCACCTGTTTATTCAAGTGTTGGTTTGTAGGGATTTGATTGGTTACAGGATTTTCATCATGAGCTGACATTAGTTAGAGAACCATTGGAAAACCAACTGAGAGCACTGGACAGCTGTTTCGTCCTAGTTTGGGACTCTTCATCAGTACGCACCCACCGGGGTTCGAACCCAGAACCTTCTGGTTACAAGGCGAGCTCGCATACCATTAAGCCACTGGGACCCGATCCAATGACTAGCCCATGAATTCTAACTTCTTCCAATTCACGATATAGCGTGACCCCTAGCCAATGTCTTCGGCGAGTATTTGTCCTCACACCCGACCTGCTGCAACCCACTGGTCACGACTTCCAGGTTTTCCAATGGTTCTCTAACTAATGTCAGCTCATGATGAAAATGCTTCACCTGTTTAATTAAAATAACTATCACCAATTGTATTTTTGTTTGAGAAACTTGATGTACAAATACACACAAAATAACACATATATATTTGCGATTGTACAGCTAAGAAAATGAATTCGCTGAAAAGAGACTCTTCGCTGATCTACGTGTTTTGTTTTTATCAATGCATGGATGGGGATTATACATGAATTAATTAGTTTTTCCCCATGCTATTGAAAAAGCGTTGACTTGGACCATTAAACCTATTTTAAAAGTTTCATTTTGTTATGTTCATCTATTTACATACAGAGGTTAAATATTAGATGCCAGGAGTGAATTAACAGGACACTCTAAGGTCTACATTTCCTATCTGTTGACACTGAACCAGATACATAGATATATATCCTTTGAGAACCGAACTTGCATTATACAATGTTGAAGACTTTACCAATAAATTCAATTATTCTTAGTATACAACACCCATTTTGTGTTGTTATTTATTTTAGTGACCGTGTTTCACCATTGATTAAAACATTTCGATTACTGAGGTAGGCAGGCACTCACGGACAAGCACGTTAAAAATTTGAATAACTCATTATCATGCCACCTCTTGTAGCAAGGTATACAGCATAATATTCAATGCCAACACAGCTATAGGCCTGAGATTACATAATCCTCCATAGATTGAAATTCCTGTAAGCAAACTACTACTACTACAAAGTCACGTCACAAATGGACAAAAGAGAGTGAGTATGTCAGTCACATTGACTTCAATATTTGCAACATGGATTGAGACTGACCGATTGGTTTCAACGGAGAACTTCACACAGATGTGCACCAATTCCAGTTGCCACTCTCTCTCTCTCCACATAGCACACAGAGCAAAAAAAGAAATTCAAAACAGACAGAATAAACGGAAATATGAGGCAAAAAGAATAGTAATATGGAAAAACAACGTTGTTTTATTGGATAATATAAATCACAAGGAGTGGATGCATCCGCACCAACCATCACCGAGAACGACTTTGAGCCATATCACCAATTGTCTCAAGCCGTCATTGGTTATTACCATCCCGAGGACCCCAACCATCCAGCACCATTCTACACCTCCCTACGTGGCGGCTGGCTTAAACCAACTAACTGGTGTGGATTTCATTGACTGATGAAGCCATGTTTTGGTTTGGCCACCACTGGCTCTTTTCCAACCTGACCCATCTTATATCAGCCAGCTAACATTGGCCGTTGTCGAGGAAGGTGATGGCTGAGCGTGCATGCGTGACACATATCCTAACCATCTCAATCGGTGTAACTTCACAACCTCGTCGATTGATTTCCCCTCCTTGCCTACCTAGCACTCGATGCCTAACCTCAATATTACTCACCCTATTATACTACCACTTAACACGGAAGGCAGAACGCAGACGTCTATGATCAGAGACAGCCAGCCGGCCTTTTCTTATCTTCTCACTAAGAGCCATAAAGGAGGACGAAGCGGAATGCTAAGCAGTATACACGCCCTTTCGTTGATAGCCGGATATCACGTACATGGATTGAGAGAAAATTCTTGATGATAAATGTGAACTAGTGTGTGTGTCTGTGTGTGTCATGATATTCAAATCCTGTCAATTAACGATACAGCATTTACTGCCAACCAGTATCACTGATATCATCTGTCATCACATCTGATTTCATTCATCACACTACATTAGAACTTCAAGCAGTCCATTTCAACTCAAAAATCCCCACTGAGTTAGACGATGTCATTCTCAAGCTGAGCAATCGTATATACGTATATATATATATATATATATATATATATATATTTTACGAGTTGATCACGGACTGATATCAGTTAGAGAACCATTGAAAACCAGGGAGTACTGGACAGCTGCTGTTTCACCCTAGTTTGGGAATCATCGGCAGTACGCACCCACTGGGATTCGAACCCAGGACCTTCCGGTTACAAGGCAAGCTCGTATACCATTCAGCCACTGGGACCCGATTCAATGGCTCATGAATTCTAACTTCTACCAATTCGTGATTTTAGCGCGACCCCAACTATTGTCGTTGGTGGGACATCCATCCACACACGTGACTTCTAATTGGACCTCACTGGTCACGACTTCTCACTAGAACTCCCGTAAGCTCCAACCTGAATCAAGTCACTAGCGAGCATCAGAATAATTTTCTAAAGTTTGGTTTGTAAGGATTAGTCATGTTTTACGAGTTGATCACGGACTGATATCAGGTCCTGGGTTCGAATCCCAGTGGGTGCGTACTGCCGATGATTCCCAAACTAGGATGAAACAGCAGCTGTCCAGTACTCCCTGGTTTTCAATGGTTCTCTAACTGATATCAATCCGTGATCAACTCGTAAAACATGACCAATCCTTACAAACCAAACTTTAGAATATATATATATATATATATATAGAGAGAGAGAGAGAGGCGGGAGATCACAAAGAATGAATGCTTCTACATCCCTGAGAACGGTTTCGATTCATACAACGAGCAATCGTTTCCAGTCATTATTGGTTCTCAGCATCTTGAGGACCCCAACAAAGCAGTCTGTCTTCCTACATGGCTCAAATTAACTGTCAAGGATTTCATGGATTAATGTCATGGTTTGGTATGGCCAATCCCAACTTTTCTCCAACCTAATCCTAATTCAGCTTACATTGCTCGACGTGGAAGGTGGTGTGGCTAGATATACACAGTATGTGCCCTATCTACCTAGATCGATGTAGCTCTTCATAACCTCATCGATTAACTCCACTTCCTTAGCTAGTAGTACTCCACGCGTAACCAACCAGACTAACACTTTAAGAAAAAATTTTAATTACATTGAAATTTTTTTAATCTTGTTGGATAACAAAACAGCGAAAAGGAGAAACTGTAACAACTTTCTGAAGGAGGGAGTTCACAAAAGGGTGGTAAGGTAATGCATATAAAGAAACTGTGACATTAATTTTTTTTTTTAAAAAAACGAGGACTAATAACTCCATATAGCACAATAAATCATGAGTTACACTCTGATGATTCACCATCCACCACCTTCCTTTGACGAAGTTCAGTGGTTTCAGTATCTTCGTGTTCACCGGATCCGTCTACTGCATGACTGCTGTTAGACGCTGGCTTCTCGATTACTTCCTGTAGTAAGAAATAATAAAAGTGTAAAACAGTGTTTAATGTTTATAAGGTGAAACAAAAATGAATAATGCATAGTTGTTTTATTCCAATGGTTATAGGGAGAGAAAGAAGCAGACTGAAAACTTAAGATAACCAATACTTACATATCATCCTAACTGATAAAATAAGCAGTTTTATTCAAAGAGGTGTCTTGCCCAATTCATACACCTTAATTTGCTATTTCCCGGCCGATAGCTGCTACCTTGACGTGGTGGTCGGGCTTGCATATCGCAATGACCCAACGAGCTACACTGGCTGGAACTTATGTTCCTGTAGGTCCTACCATGCCAGAAAGGTTGTTTGGATAGCGGTTAGACAAAAAGCAGCTACCCAATCCAACACTATGATTCAAACAAATTCACAAAATATCATGCCGGATCGGTCGGGGCCCGGATTAACAACGACCGCGCTTCCTGCTGCTGTGTCACAGGGTAGAAGTGATAAATATGCTACTGAGACACACCAAATGAAAAAGAACAAACAAAAACAGGCCGCGTGTGACCGGCCTCAAGCAGTTGTCCCCTGGGCTCTGCAGTCACGCAACACTAACCTTTTCTCTATTTCAGGTACCCGAAGACTCAACCAACTTCCACGGTGTGGGCAGCCGGGAAGTAACAACCGCCCACACACTTCCAAAAGCACATGAAGCCTACCTGAGCATCACTCTCCCCTACTCACATCACCTTCCTCATTTTGCTTCTCTACTACAGCTAGCACTATTCTTCAGGTTAGTGAGTCATCTTCACTTCACTCTGCGTCCACAAACAACGATGAGAGCCATAGAAACAACCCAGATAGCCTTTTAAAGCCACGTCGCCATCTTCATATAGGAGCTTTTAACGTCAGGACCATCTGCCAATTCGGACAACAGGCATCAATAGCAAATGTCGAAAACCGACCGACCGAATTTGCTATTTGGATAGTCAAGTAGAATTCATCGTATAAGATGAATTAAAAATATCAATTTAGGCTGACACTGAAAGCACCCAAGCATTCATACATTCAACCCATCTAAGGAACAAAAGTAATAGGATAAATAAAGATAATTTTGAATCTTTCTTGAGTCTACATCTTCCCAAGAACTATCGCTCGCAGACTCGAACACTTAATTTCCAAGAAATCGATGGTCACACAATGAACCTCTAAGAAGTCAATTCCTTGGGTTCCAAGTAGAAAATAAGACTTCAGCGACATACACCCATAGCATTCGGTTCTCTGATAACACTTTTAACGGACGCCACGATTGCCTACAAGCTTTCATCTCCTCCTTACCTGATCTCTCTTATGTCGATCTTAGACATCCGTGTTAAGTGGTATAATAGGGTGAGTAATATTGAGGTTAGGCATCGAGTGCTAGGTAGGCAAGGAGGGGAAATCAATAGACGAGGTTGTGAAGTTACACCGATTGAGATGGTTAGGATATGTGTTACACCTAACATGCACGCCTAGCCATCACCTTCCTCGAAAACGGCCAATGTTAGCTGATATAGGATGGGTGAGGTTGGAAAAGAGCCAGTGGTGGCCAAACCAAAACATGGCTTCATCAGTCAATGAAATCCACACCAGTTAGTTAGTTAGTTAGTTTAAGCCAGCCACGTAGGAAGGTGTAGACTTCTGAATGGTTGGGGTCCTCGAGATGGTAATAACCAATGACGGCTGGAGACAATTGGTGATATGGATGAAATTCGTTCTCGGTGATGATAGGTGCGGATGCATCCACTCCTTGTAATTTATAATATCCAATAAGACAATGTTGTTTTTCCATATTACTATTCTTTTTGCCTCATATCTCCGTTTATTCTGTCTTATTCATATAAGTATAAAACTTGGGCACTGTGGTAGAGTATAACTCCATAATGGTCAAGATTTTATTTTGATAAATCACACAGTGTTGTACAGTTATATTAACTGATGACGTTTCGAGCACAAACTATTGCTCATAATCATATCAAATTACTCACACAACTTCTTTCCTTCATTTATATACATGTGTGGAATCGATTAGATATTGGAATAAAATTCCATATGAGATAATGTACATTCAGAGATAACAGTACGAGTGTTATTAATCCATTACAATTAGATGGGAAATACGACGAGTGTTTTTATAGTCATAATAAGTAACTTGTTAGAATGTTTTGATGTGTTTGAATTGAAATAGAATTTTAAGATTATTTATTATCCTCTTCTGATTTGACTGGCGGTAATGATATCTTCCATATTTCTGGTATTTGCATTGAGTCACTTCTGTTACTTAAAAAGTAATATAGGTAGGTGGAAAGAGAGGTTGATTACGGAATCCTTATTCATTGAGTCTACACCCAACACATACAACAGAAGTGACTCAATGCAAATACCAGAAATATGGAAGATATCATTACCGCCAGTCAAATCAGAAGAGGATAATAAATAATCTTAAAATTCTATTTCAATTCAAACACATCAAAACATTCTAACAAGTTACTTATTATGACTATAAAAACACTCGTCGTATTTCCCATCTAATTGTAATTGATCAATAACACTCCTATTGATATTTCTGAATGTACATTATCTCATATGGAATTTTATTCCAATATCTAATCGATTCCACACATGTATATAAATGAAGGAAAGAAGTTGTGTGAGTAATTTGATATGATTATGAGCAATAGTTTGTGCTCGAAACGTCATCAGTTAATATAACTGTACAACACTGTGTGATTTATCAAAATAAAATCTTATCCATAATGGAGTTTATTCTGTCTGTTTTGAATCTCTTTTCTTGCTGTGGGTGGTATGTGGAGGGAGAGTGGCAACTGGAATTGGTGCACATCTGCGTGAAGTTTTACGTTGAAATCAGTCAGCCAGTCAGACATACAACTTATCGCTTCCCGTTTAGGTTTCACTCGAGGACCTAGCGTATGCATCATGAATATCCATCAGAAAAATGCATCAATTAACCTAATTTGTATATTATAAAAGTTTCATTTCTAGTGATGCGTCGTTATTTATCCCACCCTTACTGCCGATGATTCCCAACCTAGGATGAAACAGCTGTCCAGTAGTGCCTGGTTTTCAATGGTTCTCTAACTGATTATTAATCCGTGGTCAAACTCATAAAAAAAAACAAATCTGATCCTTACAAACCAACTCTTGAAAATCAACCAGGTTTTGTTGAAAGAATTACATTAAATATAACCAGATTATTATTATTGTTTCCTTTAATTCCTAGAGGAACGTAGAGCTTCAGCCGTGCGTCTCCATTGCGTTCGGTTTTCTGCTAGAGTCTTCACCTGGCTCCAAGTCTCCCCACACGTTTTCATCTCCTCTTCACATGACCTCCTCCAAGTCACCCTTGCACTGACGACCAACTCGCTGCTTCCCATTCAGTCGGGTTCAACTCGAGCGATGGCTTGTCTAGTGATGTCACTTGATGGTTTCCTCAGAGTATGACCAGCAAATCCATCTCCATTTCTTCCTGTCTATTTGTTGCACAATCGGTTCCTGCTGAGTTGGTTCGCTCCCAGAGACACCTGTTGGTGATCTTTTCTGGCCGGCCATCTGATCTTGAGTAGTATTGAGCGAAGACAACTGTTAATGAAGGTCTGTATTTTGTTTGAGATGCTCTTTATGACGCGCAGTGCAAGTCTCTGATCCGTATAGTAGTAGTGACTGACTTTACATTGGAGTTGAAAATCCGGATCTCATTTTTGATGCTGAGTTCTGTTGATCTCCACACAGACTTGAGAGTAGTGAAAGCTTGTCTTGCTTTTCCGATCATCGCTGCTTTGATATCCTCGTCAGTTTCATCCGCCTGTAGTTGAAACGATGCTTCCCAGGTAGGTGGGTAGGTGAAGGAGGTTGTTTCTTTCAGGTTCCTTCCATTTATGCTGATCGTTGTCTGTTGTTGTTGTTCTTGTCCAGGAATCTTCATCACCTCTGTTTTATCTATGTTCGCCTGAAGTGAAGTCCTATCTTTGATGCTTCTTGTTGCTTTTCGCTCGCATATCTTCCAGTTTGTGGGAAATCAGACATATATCATCGGCGAAGTCTAGATCCTCCAAGTTTTTTGTGTGAGTCCATTTTATGCCTGTTTCCTCATTGCCCACTGTTTGTCGCCCGACCGATAGCTGCTACCTTGACGTGGTGGTCGGGCTTGCATGCCGCAATGACCCAATGAGCTACACTGGCTGGAACTTATGTTCCTGTAGGTCCTACCATGCCAGAAAAGTTGTTTGGATAGCGGTTAAACAAAAAGCAGCTACCCAATCCAATACTATCACTCAAACAAACTCACAAAATATCATACCGGATCGGTCGGGGCCCGGATTAACAACGACCGCGCTTCCTGCTGCTGTGTCACAGGGCAGAAGTGATAAATATGCTACTGAGACACACCAAACAAGAAAGAACAACCAAATGTAACCAGATAAATTCATTTATTTTACTACATACTCTCCAAAATGGATAACGGTAAGTTGACATTTTTCTACAGTTGCTCATAATATCATGAACTCTCAGATATTGTAAACGAGGTCACATTTACTATTTTACTCAGCAGGAACCGATTGTGAAACAAATAGGCAGGAAGAAATGGAGATGGATTGGCTGGTCATACTCTGAGGAAACAAACCATCAAGTGACATCACACGACAAGTCATTGCTCGAGTGGAACCCGAAAGGGAAGCGGCGAGTTGGTCGTCAGTGCAAGGGTGACTTGGAGGAGGTCATGTGAAGAGGAGATGAAAGCGTGTGGGCAGACTTGGAGCCAGGTGAAGACTCTAGCAGGGAACCGAACGCAATGGAGACGCACGGCTGAAGCCCTATGTTTCTCTAGGAATTAAAGGAAACAATAATAATAATAAATGTTCCCATGTAATCAGCTCCACCATTGGACGTTGTAAGCGCGTTCTCCGGAGACGCGTAGCTAAACACTACCAGGTTTTGTTAATGAAAGATGAGCATAAGACGACGAAGTC